AGACTGGAATCCTACGACCCCAGTTCAGAAGTCCATTGAATATTATGACTTTGACTTTGAAATTGCAGCAATTCCATATGTGACATCACTGAAAGCGACAGCTACAATCGACGGCGCGAATGAAATTTTTGTAACTGATCAACGTGGTTTTAGTTATGTGCTGCGGTCTCAGGCCGAAACATTCCTGGAAGCAAACGACACTCGTTTACTTTTAGAAAAGATAGTTACAAAAGTTGAATACGATGATAATGGTGTGACGGTCACGTGTTCCGACGGGTCGAATTATACAGCGCCATACGCGATTATCACTTTCAGTATAGGGGTTTTACAAAGTGATTTGGTGGAATTCTACCCGCCTCTTCCTGACTGGAAAGTTGAAGAAATCTTTCAGTTTGATATGGCTCTCTACACAAAAATATTTCTAAAATTTCCAGACGGTATCGAGAAGTTCTGGGATGACGAGGAGTTCATTTTATATGCCAGTTCTCGGCGCGGATACTACACTATATGGCAAAACTTGGAGGCGGAGGGATTGTTTGAAGCAGGCACTAATTTATTAATGATGACCGTTACTGGCGACGAATCCCGTCGAGTCGAGTACGAGACCGATGACCAAATAAAAAGCGAAGTCATGGCAATTCTTCGTCAGGTGTATGGGAATGGTATACCTGATGTGGAGGAGATTATGTTGTACCGATGGTCGCAGGATCCACTATTCCGCGGTGCGTTCACCAACTGGCCGGTAGAAGTATCACGAGAAAGCCATAGACGCCTGGAGGGGAACGTGGGACGACTGCATTTCGGAGGAGAGGCGACAGACCCACATTGGAACGGCTACATACAGGCGGGATTGTTCTCGGGTGAGCGAGAGGCGCGAAAGATTATGAAATGCATGGAAGGGGCATGTGAGGCGTTCTCTGCTCAGATTTTTAAGCGTGGATGTACTTATCAAGTTGCCGATAATTACGATGCAAGTGCCACGGTTGACGACGGCAGTTGCCGATTTACACCTGTCACAGGATCGTCACAGTCACTTCATAATTACGTATTCAATCAATGCTTTCTATGTATGTATGTGTGTTGTACTTTTTTATTAGCGTTTTTATTAGCGTTATAATTTTGTAATCTACGGGCGTTATTATATAGTTTTATTTTGAAAACCTTACTACTAATAATTTTTCAAATAGTATGTTTTAAATACTAGTAGAAAGTAGTGTTCTTGGGAAATACGATACTATAGTTGTTCACTATATGGACGTCACTTTATGGGAACCCGAATTCTATTCAGTGTTCTGTCGAACGTAAACAACAAAGAACAACAGCTTGGCACCGTGGTAGCGATCGTTCCTTTTCAATAATCACCGACATCGAACCCGGTAACTTTATTATTTGATTTAGTTAACATAGACATGATTAGAACCAATGTAACTGCAATATTATTGCATGTGTATTGTATAAGAAATGATGTAACACCAGTAAGTGATTAAAACTTAAAGACCTTTTGTGAAAAAACAATAGTCTACGCTATTTGCTAGTAAGGTGGCGCTGTCGTGGTTTTTTTCTGGCGACAAATGTCATTTTACTTGTCAGACATTGAAATTTACGGAAAACATGCACTATATTTCAGGCCCAAGTAAAGAGATCACCTTAAAGAAAATAAACATAAATTATTAAAAGCTCTTTTTGACACATTGTGAATCAAAGTAATTTGTTTTACTTTTGGAGACTACACACCAATTTATTATATGTTGTGATAATTTTAATTCTCTATTTTCAGTAATAGAATCTTCAATTATTAGTACTTTATTCAAATACGTGATTTAGATGTCAGTGTAGAACGCGTTTCACTGTCAGTGTGAAAATAAAATAATCAGACGTCTAATCTGAGTCACTGTCCGAATAAATAACTCGTGAACGTTTAGTTGGGATCACGACATAACTTGAACTGGACGACTATGATACACAGTTTATGTTGAAGTTAAAAGTTCCACCACAGAATTGGCAAACATGCCGAGCAACTGCGGTACTCCACTGACGGGATGACTTTCGTTGACAGCGGTCGTCGCTGAGCTGCACGCCACAACTTCGTGTGTGACGTTGCTTGCTAGTCGTGGATTGCTAGTCGTGACCGAGTCTTGGTTACCGGTTAAAATGTTGCTCATTTGGCGTTGGACGACCATATCGTTGGTAATCTTTATTTGGAACTGAGTATTAAACGCCGCAGCGTCGCCAGCAGAAACATCCTGGAATCGCGATGTTGATGATTGCGGCTCCACAGTAATCGCTGATTTTACGGCGGGTGGATCTTCCGAGAGCCCTTCAAGGTTTATAAAACTCAGTTTCCAGGTGGTCAACATACATTAAGTTCTCCCAATCGTAGTATTCCATGTGATGTACACCTAACACGCCAAAAATGTTGCCTGACGATTTGAACCGGACAAAAATAGCAGACGAAAATGTGTTTACAAAATAAAAATAGTTCGGTAGCCGAAGGAAATACCATGTTCATTTGCATATCGACCGTGAAAATACCGAAAACATTATTGCATGGGTGATATGCAAATTAGTTTTTGTCAAAATAAGTGACTGCCAAAAAGTAACATTACTGTTGTTCAAATTGCACTCCACTCGGCAAGTATATTCACGTACTTCTTAATATTGTTTATTTCTGCCATGTTTCGAAAAACGGTACTCCTGAATGGACTACTTTGTCTGCTCTCAGACTCATTTACATATGAGGTGTGAAAATACCGATTTTGATTTCAGGGACGAATCAAAATAAAATGCAGTTCATATGTAATAATAATAATAACACAAGCTAAAAACGCAAAGGCTGTAAGTAAAGAATGACACGCTATGGCATCTGACGCATGCGCAGGTGTCGACTTCCCCGATTTTAAGTCAGTTTTGAACTTTTTAAATGTTTATCACCTTTCTGCATGTTTTGATATCTTAAACCTAACAATAGAAATAAACGAAATCTGCGAAACGAAAATTTTATTAATTCAATTTAACTTTATTCAATTTATTTGCTGGTATTTTTTTTCTAATTTAATTTTTTTGTAATCGCGAAAGTCCTTTACCTAGATGTCAAATGTTTGCAAACATCAAAATATCCAATTTTGAATAGTTGCTATATCAAAACGAGGCAGAATACAAACGTATCCCAACACTTTATATCTAGTTAGATGATTTAAATGATACAACTTACTAACATATATAATCGGACAAAAAATTCACCAAAAAAACAAGCCTATTTCATGAATAACAAAAATACCCACATACTTGACAAAACAGTGTTTATATCTTTTTACAAACAATATGCTCATCGATCTACTTGCCATACAAAAAATGGGTCGAAATGTTATGAGCCACTGTGGATATACGCTTGTGGGAGAGCGTGTTACATTAGCGTCCATAATTTACAGAGACGAGAACGAAATTATATAATATACTTTTTCATACATTGTGCTGTACAACATATATATAGTGATACTTATGCTTAATTATTTAAGTAATTTGCATTTACAAATTAATAGAGCACCTTATTTCCATGTGGTATTTCGGAACTTTATTGGCAAAGTCATTTTATGTGTGGTGTGACTAGATCAAGAGCGTTAGGCAAAAGTGTTGAACCAGTGATACACTCTGCTTTGAAAGATTTAAAAAAAAATATTCGTATTAAATATACACACAAACTAGATACTACGCCATTATATTTAATTTCCTTACCGATTTGACACGTATTAGATAAATTGAGAAAGTCGTAAGTTATCAATAGCGGCGTACATAAGAGTTGTAAAAACATACTTAACAGCGGCGTACATAAGAGTTGTAAAAAACATATTTAACAGCGCCGCCATCAACGAATTGCGCGCGCTTCCACTTCACGATTGCTTGCGCGTCTGTGTTCCGCTATGTATAGTTAATCGCACGAAAACAAAAACTGTGGCCTTTATAGTTGTAAACGCACGACAACGAGTTGCGATTAACGGCTTGTACCACGCATCCCCATGCATAAAACGATTAAATTGCAAGAGATTTTTAGTGACTGTTTCGGTTGTGCGTGAGATTGTGCCACTTCAAATTTGCATGAGAATGCTCTTTGAGATTCAAATTAGTATAGCTCATCCGCGTCGTTTTGTCGTCACCGGAAGCGCTGTCCCAGCACAAACCTGTGTCACATGACGCCTTACTAGCCGATTTTGGCTAAAATTCCGCTCCGCCGCCTCTTTACAACAGTGTTTATATGTGGAACTTGATATTGCTTTTTACAATTTGGGTTGCCTTTGAATCACATATTTTAGTGAAACATTGTTTATAGAGTGAAATATTATTGTCATACATAATTCAATCTTTGAAACAACAGAAACTAACACATAAGAACGATAATCAAATTTGTGTTTGAAGTTCGAAAGTAGTTGCGTTATTTCCGGTTTCAACTCGTTCGAAAATAGAACGTCCTGAGCGCAATAAAATCACGCGTAGAACTCCATCCGAACCAGACTCTAGTAGCGTAAACTAAATTTGCGCAATTTGGGCCCAGTTTGTTCTTACAAGTTTTCTGAGTTTCATTTATCATTATTTAGTAAACAGGTCTCTGAAACGATTTAATATATCCGTAAAATACGTGGCAATCGACGATTGACTTCGAAACGTTCGAAATTTCGAACAAACTCCCAGCACACCTTGCGCGATATGCGTCAGATCGGTGTAGAAGACGCCGAACTGCAGCGTCAATGTCATCTGCGTTCATCGAATACGATTGGATGTTAAGTGATATGACCAATAAGCCTTATTTGCTGAATGGTCTTTTCAAATAAACTCCACTCGTTGGTCAATATTTTGAATACATTTGAATTTTCCACGTGTCAAAGCATGGTCTTGTCATTTCGAATGTAGGCAGCGCTCAGTGATGCTCGAATACAGTGACATCTCCGATGCGGAGTACAACGATGACATTGAGAGATTTTGCTTTCAATACGACGAAAAAGAAGATTTTAAGTTAACAAAACAACAAGAACGTCAACGTTTCGGTTTACCTGTAGACAATGAACAGATAGCTGCCATTCAGAATTCGCGAGTGCCAAAATACACGCGTAGATGTACTAACTGGTAGGTGTCTGTGTGGGATGAATGGGGCCGAGCCAGAAATGAACTAGTCGAGAAGCACGGGGTACTGACGTCCAGCGGAGGGCTCAAATTTTCTAAACAGAAGACTGGAGTAAATACTTTACGACAATATCCAAAAAGAATGTGTGATCTGGCTGGAATAGATGGGTATCACACTTGACACTCGGGTAAGGTAAGTTTGTCTCAAGTGATTCTGGGGTGGGTGGGATCTTGGGATGGGTTCAAATGTATTTGAATTTCGCCGATTGAAAACAAATATTGTACATTGTGAAAACGTATTTCAAACGCGATGCAAATAAATGTCGGTATATTTACTTCTCAAATCATTCTCACTGCGGCGACTTAGTCGTATTAAAAAAGCTTTGATGAGCAACTAATCAAAGCATGCACTGGTCACAAATCGGATGATGGGTTGAGAACATATAAACGAACAAGTAACTCTCTTCAGAAAATCGTATCTGATGCTCTCCAACCTCCACTACCGAAAGCAAGTACTTCAGCCATCGTAATTGAAGTTTCCGATTCCGTACACAAGCCTAAGGTTGAAAGATATGAACAGCCACCGCCTGAACCAGTGACTGCAACACATGCAGAATTCAGAGAAATGTGTTGTTCAAATGATTGTTGTTCTAAACAAATTAAAATTAAGATCCAGGACGGAAACAAATGTGTCAATATTGAATTGTAGTGTTGTAGTACTTTTATTTCCATAGAAAGTATAATTAAATTAGTGCGATTTGCACCCTCCTTGTGATTTGTGTTATTAAATGCATATACTTTGTTTAATTTGTAATGCAAATTGTAAACGGTAACGCTTTGATTGATATGCAAATTGTAAACGGTTACACTTCTATTGATATGTTAATTGTAAACGCTACACTTTTGATACAAAGTGTAGCATTTACACTTTGCATATGAATAAAAGTGTGACCGTTTACACTTTGCATATTTGCGAATGCGTTGCTTTTTACAATTTGCATATAAATTCACCCTGTTTGCAAGAATAAATCGTTGGCGAGAACAATGATGCACGTGACCAAAAGTGGTATAAAAATGAGAAATTTCGCTAAACTATAAAATAGACAGGGTCGAACTCCGCACAGTTCGATGCGCCTTACTTATAATCACTGCACAAAGCAGCTTTGCATAGAACTCATTTGCATATTCGAATATCGAATTCGAATGTCGGTTAAAAAGTTTATGCGCAAGTCACTCGGTTACTTTAATCACTTTATTAAAACGTTTCACGCCATGACTCTAAATAAAATGTTCAGTTAATTTGATTAAAATATACATGACTTGCGTTAGAAAAGTGCAATCCTTTCCTATATGTCAAAGCATTAGTTTGTACAATAAATGACTAACTTTATAAACTTACTAGAACCTTTGTGTTCTATGGCTGTTGGACGCGGAAAATCGAACCCGTTCAAGCCAGAAATAATATTGAAATATTCACCAGAATACAAGATGAATGAAAATGTTAGGAAACCCCTCTGAAATATGTCTTTAATGTTTCTTTCCCAACTATATACGTTATTAGAACGTTTTTTCTTCGCAGTTTTAGTGTATCACGTGCGCCATTTCACTGCTATAACATTACCTTGCAAAACATAGTCCGCGATAAAGGGTTCATATTTACGTTTTTACTTAAGTCTGACTTTAATAAATAGTTCGGATGTCACTTCTTGTAATACGCTTTGAGATGTAACAACTACAGAAAATTGACGTGAGGTGATTGACCACAAAATTGAACGCTGCCTGTGACAGAGGTACTATTGCGTAAAGCGCAAAGACCTATGGGAAGGAGATTGAGACGGGGTACTATTATGGCACGGCGCATTTCATTTTCGGACACACCGCGTAACAGTTACGGACCACAGGTTGAGTTTTACAGCGATACGACGAGGCTTAAAAATAAAATCAAGATTAAATGCATCCATTTTCCATCCATTGTGTGGAAATTGATACCTTACTGGTTAATGTTTACGATAATTTGGCGAAAATTTGGTTAAGCTGAACGCCGGTATAACATACAATTTTAGGATTAGCACCTCCAAATTGACCGAACTAGTCTACCTCTTCCCCTCTTGATTGCAAACAATCGAGTTGTACACATGTAGTCTCTATAAACTATTAATTGCCATGCTGTAATTTATGTTTGCTCATAAAATCAATACCACTATTTTGGTAAACAATGCTCACTGGGCTGTCTTGACTACGATATAATGTAGTACGAGGCAGTTTGTTATGATATAAACTGATTCTGAAGTAACTACAAATTGTATATGAAAGGACGCCACCATTATCACACACTGCCATATTCTACCATTGTTAAAGGGCGGTGGTCGTCGTGCCGCGTCCTGTTCGATATGGGACTCATGGCGACGTATACAACGCGTGTAAAATACATTGTTTATTTACATGAAATTCGAACACGCGCTGCGAGACGACCACCGCGCTTTAACACATACGAATAATCTTCTTTCACAGTCAATGCAAATACAACTAGAAGCGGATCATGTCAGTTTCACTGATTTCACAAATTCACCTTCTTGTGTAAACACCCTTGCAAAAAATGAATTCATACCATCGTTGACTTAAAATATAAAAAAAAAACAGTTACTGGACATAAAGCATGTTTTTTGCGTTGTCAACTTCATTCTTGTATGCAGCGCCTTAATCGGTTATATCGCCAACAACTATTGATCTGAACTTCTCTCCTAGTGCTATTATCATTTACATTTGTTCACTAGTGTCCATGATCTCTAGTCTGTTGTCATTATCAGCATTGCAATATCACCATCTGTAATTCCACAAATGTTAAAGTCATTCCCCATCTCCTTTCTGGCCTATGGTTTTGACCAGGCTATTGATGACCTGAAGTGTGACTGGTGGTCCCGGAACTTCTGTAGCCCCAATCATCACTATAATTTGATTACGTCCTTCCATGTCACCATGAAATGTTACAGAATATACACCATCGCCACGATCAGTCACTTGCATATGCTTGCGTGTTCCATCTGGTTTAATGTGAATTGCTTTAACCTCATGTTCACTTACTAAATGTTTCCCCGTACAGTCTCTGGTGAAAATGGGCAAGACGATTGATTGACCTTTCAGTAGCGGGTATTGCAGTAATTCAGTACCTTCAATTGCACACTGCGATAAGCACACAGACTGTTTATTTTCAAACAGAGACGTCATTTTGTCAATTTGAGGCGTTACCTGAAACAAATTCTCCTCGACATCTATATCAATGTCCTCAGTAAGCAGCTTTCCGATTTTTTTAATGTAAGACATTTTTGAATATAATATCTCTGCTCCACACTCCGTCTCCAGAGACTTCCGAATGTCATTGCATGTCTGAACTATTGCTGTATGCTTACCGTCAAGGTCAGTAGCCTGTATGTTTAAATATTTCATTCTTTCTGCACTTTCTTGTTCTAAAGCGTCAATTACTGTGTTTTCTTTCATATTTATAGCCAACCTCACCTCCTCAGATGCAGTCCGCACTGCTGCCTTCTCTTTTTGAAAATTTTCATTCAGCTTGTCACGAATCACAATAGCTTCTGCTAGACTCTTTGACACTTCATTTTCCGTTTTTTCCACCATCTTTGCCATCTTTCGTAAATACTTGCAGTATTTATCGGCAGCTTCCTTTATGGGTATGTGGACATGCTCTGGCATACGGTGTGTTACAATTGTACAGTCTTCGCAGGTTAGCACGTCACATGTCTCACAGAAAAACTTTAGTTCATTACCAATGTGAATGGTGCAGAACCTCACATTGAGAAATACAACTCTATGAGAACGTGTTAATGTGATATTTTTGTGTACTCTAACACAGCGGTTGCAGAGGTATTGTTCACAATCAATGCAAGTAGCTGACACTGAGTTAGACTCACACCCACCACATTGTGCGAGTGGAGTCATGGCTAGGCTCCTCGATCTCTCTTGAATCTCTTGAAGAAGACTTGAAATAAAAAAGTTTGTTTTGAGTCCAGCTACTCCTTCTTCACCCAAATCGCAAGGGGCGTAACACGTTGGACATTTCAAATTCAGGTCAGTATTTTTGACTAAAGGGAGTAAACACTGCTCACAGAATGTATGTAGACATGGTAAAACTTTGGGTTGTTGATAATGTTTATAACAGACACAGCAGGTCAGGAAATCCTCACGAATCTCATCCAGAGCTTGCGCTACCTTTTCTTCCGAAGCCATGATTATGTTCAATTGTGAAAAACTGTATATAGCCTAAACACCTTGTCATAGTCCAGGCGGTGATGGGCGAAACCATTGTGGATGTATATGCTGGACGAATCCATTGTGACTTTGCTGAATCATAAACACATGTATATCAAAATGCAAGGTACATCATTTGTAATTACTAGAAAAGAATGTTTGTTCAGTAATGCGTTCATTAGTATGAGCGAACGCTTATTATTATAATTAACAAAGACATACTATCTGGAACCCCCCTATCTCTCACTTTAGCCCACAATTGTTACGATTATTAGGAAGTGAGTTATAAAGTCATAACTAATAGCATGATAAATACGTATATTGTGTCAAATGTCAAGCCACTCAGCACATAGTAGTCTGGCATAGTATTCACCCATTCCGACAGCAATCAACAATAAATGTCACATAATTGAATGCGTCAGTGAGAGCATATATCACTTGTACAATTTGACTTGTTTTGCCCCAGCATCAATCACCAGTGACAGATAATAAGAAAACTTCCAAATTCGACTGTCCGCATTATCTGAATTAAATACTGCTCAAATGTATTTCTGTCATTTCAAAGTAGAAATTTCTCTGGTTAGCTTGACCTTGGCATTGTTGAAAAAAATGAAATGAGACACCCTGACAACCTCTACATGTACTAGAAACGTATGAAATGTTGCAAAGTATGTTTAATATGACACACACATCGAAAATACATCACAAACAAATCAGACGTCTCAACCACTGATACTGACAATTAAAAAGTATGCGATGGTGCAACCAAGGATCAGACTCGTGTTCATATATGCGATGGTGCAACCAAGGATCAGACTCGTGTTCATATATGCGATGGTGCAACCAAGGATCAGACTCGTGTTCATATATGCGATGGTGCAACCAAGGATCAGACTCGTGTTCATATATGCGATGGTGCAACCAAGGATCAGACTCGTGTTCATATATGCGATGGTGCAACCAAGGATCAGACTCGTGTTCATATATGCGATGGTGCAACCAAGGATCAGACTCGTGTTCATATATGCGATGGTGCAACCAAGGATCAGACTCGTGTTCATATATGCGATGGTGCAACCAAGGATCAGACTCGTGTTCATATATGTTAATCAATATCTATTCTTTGTACTTTTCTACATGCATTCATCTATAGTATGTACAATTTGTAATATCCTCTCTTATATGTAACACATACAAATTGTATCCAGATCTCTCAAAAATGAATAAAATTTACATAAGTAATGAGTATTTTAAGAAGTGTACAGTATTTTGGGGGAATACAGATCCTTCTGTGCATATAAGATTTTACAGATTTGCAAAACATTCATCCACTGATTCTATTGTTTTTGTTCTCTTTTGAACACATAATGTGTAATAAATGGCATAAACAGACTTGCTATGAAAACTAGTATGTGCTACCCATTCTGGCTTCAACTAGTTAAAGTTGCATTCCCACGTTTTGCAATATTCAGAAAATCTCCCAATTGATTGTGATCACCATGAACAATGATAAAATGATTTGGTTAGGTAACAAATACTGAAATACTAAAAATAGCCTACACCGAAAGCTGCGATGTTTAGTCAGCAAACTTAAACAGGCTTACCATTGCTGTAATCACATTAACATTAACACTTTACTTTATTTTAAGAGGTCACCTAAATTCGACTACATTTTTCTGTTGAATAAGATTTTTCTTATTAACTGTACAAGTGGAATACAAATAAAAAATGGAAATAATATAAATCAGCATCACCTTAAACGATTTGTCTTAAATCCTAACAAATGTTTTTCATACATATTAGATAATATGTGTCCCAGATTTTGAAAGAACTTTCTATGAAAAATCAATAGTTTATTTCAAAAAAATAAATTAAATTATTTGAATTAATATTACTATAAATTAATGACAAATAGAACATTTTCCTTTATTTATATGTTGTGATAGGGCAACAAATACTACATATTAATTTCAGTGGACTGAATAAATGGACTGGATAACGAATAATTTATACAGATAGACAAATCTGAAAATCCATTTCGTATTTTATGCGATTTCACAGCTTTAGTAATGAAATCACAATAATAATTAATGTTGAATCAACAGTTCGGAAAACAACTTTCAGTAAAACTAATTTACTGTACAAATAGTTTAATGCAATTTGTTTGGCTATCAGCAACTGCTACTGTTAAGTTGTTCATTATTGCAATACCAGATGGACGTTTTAATCCATCTTCATGTGTGTTAATTTGGCAGATGAAATTTCCTAGACAATCAAACTTTTGTAATTTATTGTCACCACTGACATAAAGATATCCATTGTCATCAAAAGCTAAATATGCTGGTTTGTACAACATTCTACCTGACTTTCTAACTTCTGGAATTCTATATAAAAAGGGCCCATCTTTATCGTATACGTCCACATTGTTATTATTGGTGACACACACAAACAATTTACCTTCGCTGTCAATCCTGATACAATTAGGGGTGGATCGTTTCAATTTAATTGATTTCACAAACGCACCTTCTTGTGTAAACACCTTTGCAAAAACATTCCATGGCCAGTGTTCATTTAAAACATAAACCAAATTAGTAATCGGGCATACAGCAATACTTCTTGTGCGATCTAGAAAACTCATACCAAAATATGAAATGGTATTTCTAATTGTATTGATTAAAGCAACTTTGTTTGTTTGATCACCAACTACAACATAATTGTCGTTATTTAAAATAGCCACATCTATCGGTCTAAACTGCTCTTCTAGTGCTATTATATCCTTACATTTCCCGCTAATATCTATGATCTGTAGTCTGTTGTTGTCTTTGTCAGCAGCTACAATGTCACCATCTGTATTTATTGCAATGCCACAAATATTATTGAATTGTAGTTTCCCGTCTCCTTTCTGGCCTATGGTTTTGACTAAGCCTTTGATGACTTGCACTGTGAATGGAGGTCCTGGTTTGGCTATATCTCCAATCATCAATATAATTTTATGATTGCCTTCCACGTCACCGTGTAAAGTCACAGAGTATGCACCATCGCCATTATCAATCACTTGCATTAGCTTCTGTGGAGAGCCATCCGGTTTAATGTGAATTGCTTTAACCTTATGTTCACCAACTACATGTCTTCCCATACAGTCTTTGGTGGAAATTGGTATGGCGACTGCTTGACCTTTGAACATGTATTCAACATTACCTCCAATAGTGCAGTTGGAAACGCACACTGGCTGTTTATGTCTGAACAGGTTCGAGACTTTTTCACCACGAGGCAGCACTTCAAGGTCATATTTAGTCACATTTGTTTCGGTGTCATCAATAAGTTTCATGATGTGTTGCTCTGTACAATGTTTCGATGATAACAGGTCTACATAGTCCTTGGAATGCAAGTACTTCTGTATCTTAGTAAAAGCCTGTTTCAGAGATTTGTGTTTTGATTCAAGATTATGCACCTGAAGGTTCAAAGGTTTCATCCTTGCCGCACGTTCATGTTCTATGTCATCAATTACAGACTTCTCTTCCCTACTCACAGCCAGGTTCATCTCCCTAGATGCACCTCGTACTGTGTCCTTTTCTCTGGTGAGATTTGTATTCAGCTTGTGACAAAATTCGGCTGTTTTAGCCATTCCCTTTGAAAGGACAACACTCCTTTCTTCAAGTGCCATGGCCATCTTTACCAAGTCACTGCGACACGCATCTACAGCTTCTTTCAAGGGTATGTGGACATGGTCTGGTATACGGTGTGTCACTATTGTGCAGTCTGAACAGGTTGGCACTTCACAGGTCTTACAGAAAAACTTTACTTCACTACCATGGTGAATGGAACAAAACTTATAATTGTTTGTAGAAGAAGGCTGTGGGATTGGAGTAGATGGTATGCTTAGCCCTGTGAGAAATATAACCCTATGAACACGTGTTAATGCAATGTTTTTGTGAACTTTAACACAGTTGGTGCACAGGTATTGTTGACATTCAATGCAGGTTGCTAAAGCTGGATCAGACTCGCACCCCTCACATTTTAGAGGTGCAGTTCCAGATAGACGCGGGGTTCTTCGACGCATCTCGTTGAGGAGACTTGAAATAAAAAAAAGTTACCTTTCAGTCTAGCTATTTCCTCTTCTCTCAAATCAAAAGAGGCGGAGCATGTAGGACATTTCCAATTCGAGTCGGTCTTCTCAGCCAAAGTAACTAAACACTGCTTGCAGAATATATGTAGACATGGTAGGACCTTTAGTTGTTGATGAAGTTTAAAACAAATTAACTAATCTCATTCGGGGTTTGTATTGTAGAACTCATAGTTATGTCTATGGTGAAGTTAAAACAATACAATACACCGAATAATGCACTTAGTGCAAAAGTGATGGGTGTGTATAAAGGACCATTTCATTTTGATTATGTCTAACATAATATCGAATGTAAATTAATCCCTTGTGATTGAATGGTTATTGCAAAATCATGATGATAATCAATATACATTACAAAACAAGTAAAATAGTATGGAAATAATATAAACGATTTTTGGATATATGAAATATTATGGAATCCCTCCCGACTGAATTTGGTTTAGTCCGTGACTACTAAAGTCTGGCAGTCACATTGCAAGATAACAAAGTAAATTGCGCTGTTATCAAATAAGGTCATCACACTATTTGTTATTCGTGCACTAGTTTCATGCCTCAACTGGAATGACCAACAAAATATAGGGACATGTATGACACTTGCTTTTCTGTATATTAAATCACTCACTCTTTCAATATATTTGTCATCGACTGAGGTGGGTACTTGAAATGAAACCGATGTTCAAAAGACTGTAATGTTAAAGAGAGACTATCAGGGAGACGTCAGACTGTAGAGAGGACTGCAGTTTTCTTTCTCTTAATTCATAACAGTTCAATGACTCAATATATTGCACACAAGTTTATTGTAACCATGGGCACGTGGATACCAGCACTAATGACACGCACTTAAATACATACCATAAATATTCAAGGCTAGTCTATAGGCTCAAAGTACAAACCAGACAATATAAAGTTGTGTAATGCCAAATAAATCGAGTTAAGTATATATGCCCTCATGTTGTTCATTGCCATGGCAACCCACGCATTCTCATCGGCGGGTGTTCCTGTGGACATTGTGGAACACTACAGCCTAGGCAGCGTCACTATGCAGTATTTATACTTGTATGTTCTCATCAAGTATTTATTTTTAACAGTTGACTTTATCAATTGGAGGTGTTACTGGAGTAATTAAAATTTTTGAATTGATTAAAATGTTTTATTAAATACGTGTCGGATATGTGAAAATATAATATTGCATGTCAATCCATACATTTTAGGAATATTGACCTCTGAATGGTTAACCACATCGTCAAAGAAGATTCAACTGTCATCTGGTGTCTCTGACCATATGGTCGGCAATTCTGATCAAATATGGTAATAAAGTTGAAGAGCTTATTTATTTAGCCAGTATTAATCGCATTTAAGATACGCACACTAATACAGTCATCTCTGGTCGGACCGAATTACAGATTCAGAAATGAGGAACGCCACATAAACAATCAGCTGCCGTACAAATGATAATAAAATAAATGGATTTAGTTGCCGATATGAGGGCCGCCATCTTGGGTAAGGCATTAAATTAAACAAGAAACAAGTTGAGAAACGCGTTTTTTCAGGTTCTTAGAAATCAAGAAAAAAAATACCAAACCTTCACGGTCAAACGATTGGTTGGTGGTAATATTAAGCCAACCGCTAACGCAATTCGGCCAATTTCGTCGTTTTTGTGTGGAAAAATCTCTTGCAAACGAACACCTAATTACATGAAGAACATAGAACACTTTCCCGAAGTGTTTGGAACCATAATTATCATTCCAACCTAGGAACCAATCAGCAATGTTTTTATTATTTTTATCAGCGGTATTTTACGGGGTATTTCATCCTACCATATTAAGAAATTTGAATTCCAAATATGGAATGATTACGCGCGTAGGCGTCTTCTCATAATACAAACAAACTTGGCTGCCATCAGGGTTTGACCGGACTCTACACAAAGAAGTTCGCTGATTCTGTTCTAAACCTTTTGGATTTCGGCATTCCCATGGTGTATCATTGGGAGGAAAAGATGTATTGTAGTTAGGTTATTACGAGGACGTCACTCAGACAGCACGCCGTCGTATCAACCTCCGCGACAGTCCTGTTGTATTGTCTTCGTGCATACTTTTAATAATAACCTCATATTATTCAAACTTAAAATCAAAAACAAAGATCATAACACACTGTAAACAAATATTTGGATACTGTACATGCTTTATATCATACTAAACCGATCACTAGATTTGTTGACTGTGAAATGTTTAGCGCCACCAACGGAGGTTTGTCCCTCGGTGCTATCGAATCTCAATTAACAAAACGCAGTCGCCCATGATCGTAGTCGATGGTCGACCATGGTCACGCTCGCCTGGGGAAGTCTGCATCGGCCAGGTGAACGAGTTGAGGAGATGAATTTAAAAAGATCAATAACATGAACTACATAAACAAAGTAGATGCTCAGTTTGCTAAACAGGATCGATAATCAGGTGAGTCAGATATATAGAGATATCCTCAGAAAAGGGCACCTTAATCAAAAGTACAATTTGTACATAAAGAACACATGGCTTTAAATGTATTCTCAACATTTATTCATAATTTTAATCCATGTAATATTAAGCCATAATCACTGTTTTGGACGTTAGATGACACATGATAATATGTCACATTTCAGTCACATGTATCATAAAGGGATAAATGTTCATTTTATGATGATGCCGGGAATTTTCTTTTTGGGGCATACAATTATATCTATGATACCCATGTACAGTGTCATATTCATCATAATACACGCCTATGCAGGAATATAACACTTATTCCTTGTTTCCCATCATAAATTATTAACATACACGCTGGCGCAGGCTTACGATATTGGATACAAAGAATTGCATAAATATAGGAAAATAGCAAATAGAAATATAAAAATCGTGACAATATAAGAGTCTCAGATTGCAATTTGGAATTCATTTAATAAATCTTATTTTTGTTGATGAGACTATTGAATAAGTCTATTATTCACTCTCAATTACTGACCATACACTAAAATTCATTCTGGAACAATTTACCCTATCTTCTTAAAAATAGATTAACAGCGAATGCAAAAGCGTCCATACAGTAATACTAATAATAATAATTAACTATAGTCACATGTTGACATGTGAAGTACATTCTACATACAAGTTAAAGGCATAAAGCTGGGGTTGTTATAAACATTTTATAAATATATTTTTGTATAAGTGAAACTGACCAATCCAGAATCGATATGGCGACATCACTGACCCCCAAGTTTTAATTAATGATTAGTTAAACACCATCCGATGAACTAGCTGTTTATTTACCATGTCACAGTTGTCATGTCACTTAAAGACATGCGCAGCTCTCGAGTCAATCATATTCGAATTTGGATGAAAGCTTATGATCGATATTTACAAATTGTTATAAATATGTTTATAAACTGTGCCACAGCTTTCTGCTTTTCATTATATGCCATCATATAAACAACATGTCGATTTCTCAAATTATATGCGTATATGCGTAACATTGGCGTCTACGGGTGTAATGTTTAATATGGAATGACAATAGCATCAACAGTAATTGAGCAAAGTGATGAACCTACTAACAATTCATACACGTATATCACTCCGCCTAATTAATTACTCCCTTTTGAGGTTCAGGGCAAGTTCAGTAAGATTAAAATGGCGTTAGATGCAATTTAATTTATCTGAATGGGAAAGTATCGATTATTGTGTTAAGGGTTTTTATTAGGAACGGTAATTTACGAGTTGTGTATGATCTAAATGGTCTTCCTAATAATTTGAAAGGTTTGGACTGTGTGGAAAATTAAGTCGTAAATAGGCCGCAGCTATTTCAATGAATATTATAAATAAACAATGTCACATTGGTCTCATATTTCGTTACTTATAGTCTGATGCTACACCGTGTGACTCTTTGAGATGATCTAGGATTTCCTACATCCCAGAGTCGTGTGTGGGAATACTATTAATGCTACCGTTAAGAAAGAAATAATAATTCAATAATAATCATACGAGGCGAGTTATTGATTTGATGATTTGTAATAATGAACTTCTGCTCACAGAACAAAATATTTGAACATTATATAAGCTTAGTCAAATACAATAGTGGAGATAGGATATTAAATCGTAGATCTGATAACACGAAATGTGAAGGTAAATTTAACACAAACAAACGACAAAAACAAGTCATTGAAAATGACACAGTCCCCGTTTTTTTGTGTGCTCGTCATATTAAAGCGGAGGGGTTGTCGCGAGCGTGTCCTTGAAACTCGAGTTCCAAGTGGCGTATACAACAGATTGTTTATTTACATCAAAACACGTGTTCTGTGTAGTAGTAATATGACCAAAAATAAAAATAGCCGTTATTCGGTCATCTTTGATTTGATTATGAAACACACTGATATGTATGATGTACGTGTCAAATACGAATGAAAATGGCACATAAATTGTGGAAATATAGTAGTAAGGCCAAAAAGTCAGATTGCTGTCAATCGGCCATCCTTGACCAGATTTTGAAACAAATTGTCATGGACATGGATCCTGACATGTATAAAGTACATGTATGTGCCGAATTTGAATGAAAACTGACAGAGCACGTTCAAGATACGGCAGAAAAAACAACATGATGCCTGCCTGTCAACCATCTTTGATCCAATCGCGAAATAAATCGTCATGGACATGTATCGTAACTTGTATAATCTATGTACCAAGTTTGAATGAAAACTGACAAAGCATGTCCAAAATACAACATTTTCAAAAAACAAGATGGCTGCCAGTCGGCTATTTTAAATCATTGAAGGTAGTAACGGAAGGAGCCACGACGCCTATCAAGTGGCCACTTAAGCCTCTTAACTGGTTTATTTCCTTTTGTTTCAACCCAAATTAATCCTGATAAGGACATGGTCTAGCTCATCTTTGATGTTGATGATAGTTTGCGATTGT